TTTCGGCTCAGGTCATGATCTCCTGGTTGTGGGAGCAAGCCCCACATTAGGCTCCATGCTCAGTGCAGAGTCTGCTTGAGACTCTCTCTCCCCCTCTCCTTCTGCCCCTCCCTCTGCTCTCATGAGTGCTCTCTCTCTAAAAAAAAAAAAAAAAAAATGCAAAAAAAGAGCGTATGTTCATATTGTCACTTATTTTAATTGTTATTTTTTAAATACACAGATTCATGTATTTTAATCTTCCTCAGTAAAACTGACCGACAATTAAGCATCTAGAATTATCTACGCATTCCTTTATGTATGTTCAGGCTCTAATTAGCCTATGTGTAAGAATTATCATTGGGCATCTACAAGTACTCTAAATTTTAAGGCAGATATTTGTAATCCGGCTTTGTGACACTTATTATTTAATGGCATTTTGACAATTAAGATTTCAATTCCTCCTTAATCGCAGGAAACAAACTGAGGGTTGCTGGAGTGGGGGGTGGGGTGGGAGGGATGGGGTGACTGGGTGATAAGACACTGGGGAGGCTATGTGCTCTGGGAAGCACTGTGAATTGTGCAAGACTACTGAATCTCAGATCTGTACCTCTGAAACAAATAATGCAATATATGTTAAGAAAAAAAAGAAAAAGAAGAAGGTAGCAGGAGGGGAAGAATGAGGGGGGGAAATCGGAGGGGTAGACGAACCATGAGAGACGACGGACTCTGAAAAACAAACAGGGTTCTAGAGGGGAGGGGGGTGGGAGGATGGGTTAGCCTGGTGGTGGGTATTGAGGAGGGCACATTCTGCATGGAGCACTGGGTGTTATGCACAAACAATGAATCATGGAACACTTCATCTAAAACTAATGATGTAATGTATGGGGATTAACATAAGAATAAAAAATAAATAAATAAAATAAAATAAAAAATTTAGCCTTTAAAAAAAAAAAGAAGAAGAAGAAGGTAGCAGGATGGGAAGAATGAAGGGGGGAAATCGGAGGGGTAGACGAACCATGAGAGACGATGGACTCTGAAAAACAAACTGAGGGTTCTAGAGGGGATGGGGGTGGGAGGATGGGTTAGCCTGGTGGTGGGTATTGAGGAGGGCACATTCTGCATGGAGCACTGGGTGTTATGCACAAACAATGAATCATGGAACACTTCATCTAAAACTAATGATGTAATGTATGGGGATTAACATAAGAATAAAAAAAAAAAAAAGGATTTCAATTCCTCAAGACAGAAACCCAGGGTTCAGAGTTGACTCTGGACTGAAGAGAGAATGAGAGTTCTAAAAAACAGGGAATCGTTCCACATTTAAATGGTGGTGTGAAGACCACAAACATCAAACAGAACTGTTAAAGTAAGGTATGACTACTGGATCTTAGAGCCCTCCCGCCTCTTATCTATCATTTCCCAGGTAAGTTTCCTCTCTAGCCCCTTTCTCAAACGAAATATTTCCCTAAGAATTTCTACCCAAAGGCTTGCTTCAGGCCCCAAATTTTGTGCCTCAGACAGAAACCTTCAAAAGCAGTTTACTGTCCTCCAGATTACTGACCAAACTAAACCAGAACCCATATTAATCCAAAATTACACTATGTTTGACAACTCTTCTTCCCTTGGAGCAAGGTATAGTTGGTAAGACTATTTACTACATCTATAAAGAAGGCCGTGTTTTGCTTTAAGATTTTATTTGTGAGAGAGAGAGCGAGCGCATGTACGTGCACAAGCAGGGGGAGGGGCAGGCAGAGGGAGAAGCAGGCTCCCTGCTGAGCAAGGAGCCCCATGTGGAACTCAATCCCATCCTGGGATCATGACCTGAGCTGAAGGTAGACGCTTAACACTGAGCCACCCAGGCTTCCCAAAAGGGCTGTGTTTTGAGGACAAGTTGCTGCAAAATTTTAGAGTCACAGAAACAGTTCAAAAAGAGGGGAGTGCAGGGCGCCTGGGTGGCTCAGTCGTTAAGGTCTGCCTTTGGCTCAGGTCATGGTCCCAGGGTCCTGGGATCGAGCCCTGCATCGGGCTCCCTGCTCCGTGGAAGGCCTGCTTCTCCCTCTCCCACTCCCCCTGCTTGTGCTCCCTCTCTCGCTGTGTCTCTCTCTGTCAAATAAATAAATCTTTAAAAAAAAAAGAGAGAGAAGTGATTATTTAAAAAATGTTCCCCGTCCTCCCAAGGTCTATATATTCAAATTACAGTGTAGACTTTGTTATGTCATAATAACCAGTAGCACTTAAAATCTTGATGTCTTCATTGTCAGTTTTTCACAAACCCTAAAATGGTAAGATATTTGCTATATTCAAGCAGAGTCCACTGTGGCAGCACTGAGTCCTAACTCACAGGAACATGGGAACATTTTTACATTCAGTAGTACACAAGTTTTACTGCAATTCAAGCCTATATTGGACAGAAAGTTATCAAATCTGATCACGTTCTTCTTACTCTGTGCCTAGCAAAAGAAGAATCAAAGGTGGATACAAAAACCATAACCGTTTTCTACTTAGAGAAAGCTCACCTGTTTATCCAGGGCTTTATTGAGATACCACCTCACACCAGTCAGGGCTTTATTTCTATGGTTACACTGTTGCTGAGACTTCAACCTCAAAAGGCACCTTTGTTTATTTAGGAAGATTATAATTTAAGTTGAAATATTTTTTTAAAAGATTTTATTTACTTATTTGACACAGAGAGAGAGACAGCGAGAGAGGGAACACAAGCAGGGGGAGTGGGAGAAGGAGAAGCAGGCTTCCCACTGACCAGGGAGCCAACTCGGGGCTCGACTCCAGGACCCTGGGATCATGACCTGAGCCGAAGGCAGATGTTTAATGACCCAGGCACCCCGTTAAGTTGAAATATTTTTACAGGAAACTTCATATTGTTAAAACCAAAATATATATATATATACCAAGCCTACATACAGATCTACTGAGAATCCTACTCACTGGGAAACATGTATTGTTCACTGTTAACCATGAGGGTTAAACCATTTGTCAAACCAACTCTTCCTTGGCTGGGCCACTAGAGAGTGCTAGACATGCAGTTAGACAGGACCCAAATGATACAAAAATGAACCTCCCCCCACCCCCCCCAAAATCTGGAGCAGAAAAGACGAAGGATATTAGGATTCCTGGCTGGTATACTACAAAAAGGTATTGCAACAGTGACAGACCTGCAATTTGAGGTAAGTATTTATCACCACCTCTTGTCTGTCAATAACTCAAGTTTTTGTAAGTGAATAATAGAGACGTGCTTCAACAGCTCCCAAACTAAGCAACTGACATTAAAGGATTAATCCAAGACATATAGCAAAAGAAAAAGTGATTCCTTACTTTAGGAAAGGAGACAAAGTTAATGATGTGTTAAACTTGACTCCTTCAGCTTTGTTAAAAATTTACAGGGGAAGGGGAGAGAGAAGATAAAAGCAGGGGATTCCTTAAGTAAGGAATCCAATGTGGAGAGGAACCTTACACACACCATATAAATCTCAACCACTAAACTAATGACATGGAGCAGTAACAAGATTATCACCTGAAGACCATCGCTTTCAACCAGGATATTTTTTCAGGAGCACACAATTCCATCAGCAAGAATCTCACTCTGATCCTAACAGAAATCATCTCTGACTTCAGTTCATCCTGAGAGGTAATGCTTCCCAACACCATCACTAATAAAAAGAAAGAAAACTGGTGCTTAACCCCTACAATCTCAGGGGATGTTAGTTTAAAAAAAAAAATTTTTTTTTAAAAAGCTACAAGGTGGAAAGAGCCTCAAACCTCCGAACCTCACTGAACTGCAAAATCGCGTTACACTGTAACAAGATTCATTCAGATAATACCGTTATTTTCCGATTTCCACATAATTAATAAGCCTAATGGGGCATTCATCTGAAAAAGATAACACTAAAGGTAATTTCCTCAACGTCTCACGGAGGTGATCAGTTTCTTACTAAAGCCTCCTAACGCAGAAGGCACGCCTCTGTCCCACCTTCCCGTCAAACCGATCTTTTCTTTTAAATCCACTCCTCCGTAGCTACAAGCGATTCTCCAAAACACATCGTGCTGATAACGAAATGGCCTTCCCAGATAGAGGTGCACAGTGGCTTGACTCGCTCCATTTCCAACTGCTCACCCCCTCCACCCACGTCCGTATCTGAAACGAGGCGGGACGATGCCGTCTCCCTGCATTCCTTCCTGCAGACCCTGGAGCCGGTGCGGTGTTCTGCCCAAGCACCACACCGTTGTAGCTTCATACTGACAACTCCCGGTCGAGACACACGGCTCAGTTTCCCTGACCCAGGTAAGCCTTAACGCACGCTCCAGATTAATGGGTGCTCAGCATGGTGGCAGGGGACGGACCCACAGCAGACCACCCAACAGGCCCCGGAGTCTTTGTCCCTTTTTAGTTTTCTGTCCTACGTCTGCTCTTTGCCCCCATCCCCGCCCCCGAACCCTTCCCTGCCCCGGAGGGTTCCTCGGTGAGGCCTGGCGCTGGAACCTGGGACACCTTCCTTCTCCGTACCAGGCTTCCATCGTTACCCCGGAGAAGAAAACCACCCGCTTCCCAGATCTGCGCTCGCCCACCTCCGGAACTGGACACGCCCCAAACCCCGCCCCTGCTCCGCCCCCACCCCCGCAGCGGAGGGGGAGGAAGACGGGGGAGGGGAAGAGAGGGGGCGGGAGGACCGAGGCGGAGGGGAAGGGGAGGGGGGAGGAGGAGGGTGGAAGGGGGGGGAGAAGGGAGGTGGGGAGGGAGGGGAAAAGAGGGGAGGGAGGGGAGGGGGGCAGGGGAGAGGGGGCAGGGAATAAGAAAGAAGAGCCCTCTCGGGGGCCCCCCCCCGCCGGCTAGCGTAGCCCGGGAGGGGTCCGCAGGGGGCTCACAAGCCCTCCCTTCCTTCTCCTCGCACCCCAACAGGGCCCAGAAGCCCCACACCACCCACTTGCTGGGCAACGCTGCAAAAAGAGGGGTCTCCCCCGGCTCCCAGCTCAGCCCGCAGTTTTCCGGGGGCAGAGGGGACTCGCACCTTGCGCTTGCGGGCCTCCGCCGTGCCGCTCCACACGAAGCACTGGTAGATGGCCCGCAGGTTCTGCTTCCAGTTGTCCACCTTGAAGCTGCTCAGGTGCGAGCAGCCCGGCGGCGTCACCACCAGCTCCGCGTCCATGGCCTCGCTCTCCGGCTCGGGCCGGGACACCATGGGGGGCAAGGCCCGGCCGCGCGCGGGGGGCGGCGAGGGGGACGAGGACGACGCCAGCGCGGCGCAGGGGGCTGCTCGGCGGCGCGCCCCGGCCGGCCGGGGAACGGGCGCCGGGAACAAAGCGCGGGCAGCCGCGGGGCCGGCGCACAAAGACCCGGCTGCGCGGACGCCAAGGAGGAGGCGGCGGCCAGCCAGGCACCGCCCGCGCTGCGCTCGCCCGGTTCGCGGAGCGCGGCGCGGGGCGGGGCGCGGAGGCCGCAGGCGGAGGTTACGTCATCCCCGGCCAGCCGCGGGCGCGGCACTGCGCAGGCTCCGGCCGCTCCCGGGCCCGCCCGTCCACGCCGCCGCCCCAGCCGCGCGCAGGCTCCGGGGCGATCGGCTGAGTGAGTGCTCGGCGGGGGCGTGGAGCCGACCAGGGTCCGCCCCCGCGCTTACGCCGGCGGTCGCCGGTCGGCCCGCGGCGGCCGCGGCGGTTGTCGCTAGCTGTCAGTACAGGTCGCCTGGTTCAGAGCTGCCCCCCGGGAAGCTGGCCACTTGCCATTCCCGGGCTCCCACGGAGAGCTGCGGAGGTGGGGGCCAGCCGAGGATTGGGTGACGCGGAGCGGCCTTCGGGGCACTGAGCCGGTTTGCACCGGCCTGAGCTCTGCCGCAAAGAGGCGGAGCGACGGGCTGGGCCTTGCAAATCCGTGCAGTCTCCCTTGGACGCCGGTCTGTGCTGACCCCCCAGCGTGGGCTTTCCCACCCTAGGCGGTGCCTCCCTGGCTCGCTGTCAGTGTTGTTGGCAACGGGAGTCCCTCATCTGGGACGCTGCAGGCCTCGCTCATCTTTGTGGCCTGTCTGGAAGTTGCTGGGCATTGAAATGATTAAGACCATGTCCTACTTTGAGAATCCCAGGATGGATGCCATGTGATTTCACTCACGCAGAATTGAAGAAACAAAAGAACAAAGGAAAAAACAAACAAACAAAACCCCAGACTCAAAAAAACAGAACAAACTGGTGGCTGTCCGAGGGAAGGTGGGTGGGTGCATAGGTGAAATAAAGGGGATTAAGAATGCACTTAAATTGATGAGCACTGAGAAATGTATAGAATTGTTGAATAATTATTGTACATGTGAAACTAATATAACATTTTATGTTAATTATACTTCAATAAGAAAAAATCCCAGAGTGGAATGTCAATTGATGCAGCCACTGTGGAGGTTCCTCAAACATTAAAAATAGCAACATCACATGAGCCAGAAATTGCACTACTGGGTATTTACCCAAAGAAAATAATACTGACTCAAGGCTATATGCACCCCTCTGCTTATTGTAGCATTATTTATGATAGACAAGATATGGAAGCAACCTAAGGGTCAATCAATATATGAATGGATAAAAATGTGGTATATATACACAATAGAATATTATGGGCATAAAAAAGAAGAAGAGCTTGCCATTTGTGACAGCATGGATGGACCTAGAAGGTATTATGCTAAGTGAAGTAAGTCAAACAGAGAAAGACAAACACTATATGATTTCACTCCTATGTGGAATCTAAAAAACAAAATGAACAAACAAAAAGGCAGAAACGGATCCATAAATACAGAGAACAGTCTGGTGGTTGCCAGAGGGGAGTGGGAGATGGGAGGGGATGTGCAAAAATGCGTGAAGGGGAGTGGGAGGTCCAGGCTTCCAGTTATGGGATGAATGAGCCATGGGGATGAAAGGTACAGCCTAGTTGTAATAGGGTCAGTATAGTGAAGGAGGGTGGCTACACTTGTGGTGAGCATAGCATAATGCATGGAGCTGTGGAATCACTATGCTGTGTGCCGGAAACTAATGTAACATTGTGTGTCAACTCTACTTGAGTTAAAAAAAGGAATCCCAGGATGTAGTGGGATAAATAGCAACATTAGCAGGCAATTACAGTAATATGAAACTGCAGAGATAAAGGAAAGTCCAGGTAACATGAAAACATTGCAAGACACCTGTTACCTTAACCCTACCCAGCAGTCATAGTGGAGGGGATCCAGAAATGTTTAGTATGCCTTACATAAGCATAGAAGGATGAGTAGGAGTTGGCCAGTTTTTAAAAATAAGTGACATGGTGAGGGATTTGTCTCAAAAAGTATTTCCCACCATCCATGAGACTAACATGGTCTAAAATTTATTTTCTATATGTTTTTTTAATTTGTTTTCCAACTTAAATTTAAAACACCTGTGGAATTGTGCTTCCAAGATGGTCAAGCAATATCCTACACTAATCCTCCCTCTGATAACAACTGTGATCTCTGGACAGAATACAAAAACAAACACCTGAAAGCACTGGAGAGTGACCCAAAGCAAGCAGATTCAGGAGGGAGCAGACCCGTGGAAGATGGGACTTGCCCAAAGGAAGTAACCTGTTTTTTATGGCTTATAGACTGAGGACAGGCTACACTTGGAGGAACCCAGACAGGGAGGCTGAAACTCTGACAAAAGACCCCCGCCTCTTTCTGGACTGAGGAAGCAGGGGAAGAGTACAGAACAAACCACTGAAAAGTGAGGAGAGACAGAAGGGGAGCCCCAGAGTCTATGCATGAACTATGTCTTGACCACTTAGCCACTCATTGCTAATTCCAAGCAGCCCAAGTAGAAGAAAAAGAAGTGAGTAGAGATTAAAGCTGCTGCCCAAGAAATAGTTAAATTTTAAGTTAGTGCCTTAAAAAAAAAATGATCAACTCTCTTTGGAGGTATATAACAAAATCCATACTTAAAAACTATAACATTTCTAACATTCAAGATACAATCCAAAATTATTTGACATATGAAGAAAAATATGAAAATATGATTCATTTTCAAGAGATAAGACAGTCAGAGGTGAACAACCCTAAGAAGTATGAGATGTTAAAATTAGCATGCGAGGACTTCAAAGTGGCTATGATAACTGTGCTTTGTGAAGTAAAGGACAATATCCTTGAAATGAATGAAAAGATAGGAAATAGCAGCAGTGAAGTATGAACTACATATAAGAACCAAATGGAAGAACTGGAACTGAAGTATACAGTATCTCCAATAAAAAGGTCACCTTAAGACCAGAATAGAAATGATACAGGACAGTAAGTAAACTTGAAAATTGATCAATTGAAGTGATCTAATCAGAACAAAGAAAAAATATTGAAAAACTGAACAGAGCCTCACACACCTGTGAGATGGTATCAAAAGGCCTAACGTATGTGTGATTCAAGTCCCAGAAGGAGAGGTGGGAGAATATGAGAGTGAAAATATATTTGAAGAAATCATGGCAGAAATTTTCCCCAGTTTGATGAAGGGTATAAATGTACAGATTCAAAACTGCCATTGAACCCCAAGTAAAATAAACGTGAAAGGGTGCCTGGGTGGCTCACTCGGTTAAGTGTCTGCCTTCAGCTCAGGTCATGATCCCGGGGTCCTGGGATCCAGTCCTGCATCGGGCTCCCTGCTCAGCAGGGAGTCTGCCTCTCCCTCTCCCCTCTGCCTTCCCCTCCCCGTGACTTGTGCTTGCACTCTGTCTCTCTCTCTCAAATAAATAAATAAAATCTTAAAAATATAAAATAAAATTAAAATTTAAAAATGTGAAGAAAACATGCTGAGGCACAACATAGTTTACTAAAAACAAATAATAAAGAACAAATCTTGATAGCCACTAGAGAAAAACAAGACATTATAGACAGGAGAACAATGATATATTTTTTAAATCAGAAACCTTGGAAGCCAGAAGACAGTGGAACAACATTGAAAGTACTGAAAGACACTTAAGTATTGCAAATGTCAGGATTTCTTAATTTTTAAAAAAAGATTTATTTATTTATTTTAGAGAGAGAGCATGCACCCAAGTGGGGGGAGGGGCAAAAGGGGAGACTCTCAAGCAGACTCCCTGCTGAGAGCAGAGCCCAACTCGGGGCCGGATCCCATGACCCATGAGATCTTGACCTGAACTGAAACCAGGAGTTGGATGGTTAGCTGACTGAGCCACCCAGCTGCCCCAGGATTTCTTTTTTACGGCTGAATAATATTCCATTGTATTTATATAGATACACCATATTTTCTCTATTGTGTTCACTGGAATATTATTCAGCCCTTAAAAAGAAAATCCTGTCATTCACAATAACATGGATGGACCCTGAGGACATTATGCTAAGTGAAATAAGTCAGAAAAGACAAATACCATATGATCTCACGTATATGTGGAATAAAAAAAATAAACCCAGAAAACCAAAAAAAAAAAAACAAAAACAAAAACAAACTCACAGATGCAGAGATTAGATCAGTAGTTACCAGAGACGGGGATGGAGGATAGGCAAATTTGTATGGTGATAGATATTAATAAAACATATTATCATAATCATTCTGCAATATATACTTATGTCAAATCATTTTATTGTACACTGAAAACCAATGTTATATGTCAGTTATATCAATTTAACAACAAAACAAAGCACACAGCAAAGTTTTATTTAACTTATTAATAAGGGAACAACAGGAAGATATAGACAAGTCAAAAGATCATATGGGAAAATGGGATTTTTTTGGTCAGTGGGAAAAAAGGGAATGATGAGATACGGTTTTCTAATTATTACTTTCAAACTTGGTTAATGTCCTAGAGCAGTGGTTCTCAAACTGGAGCATATAACAGAGGAACCTTGGGATGCTGGGCTTCACCCCTAGAGTTTGTGATGTCTTAGGTCCAGAGTGAAGCCCGAGAAACTTCATTTCTAACCCATTCCCAGATAAAGCTGCTGCTGGTCAAGGAGCCACGCTTTGAGAACTACTGTTCTCCAAGGAAATGCACCTGTAAGCTTTGGGGTAGACTTTTCTGCTGGTCATAAAAGAAAATCATCATATCTTACTACTCTTTATCATTAATCTTTAAGCTTAGAGAATTGTAAAATATCTGGTTCCTAATTGAATAAATAGTGGGATAAGCAGAGCTACATTTCCTTAGAGAACAGATGTCTAGCACATTAAAAGTCATGCGGTCATCTTTTACATTCTTTCTTTCTCCCTTTTTTTTTTTTTTTTGAGAGAGAAACAGAGCACATATGGCAGGGTGGGGGTGTTTAGGGGCAGAAGGAGAGGGAGAAAGAGAATCTTAGGCAGGGCTCAATCTCACAACCCTGAAATCATGACCTAAGCCGAAATCAAGAGTCGGACCCTTATCTGACTGAGCCACCCAGCTGCCCCCTTTACTTTGTTTCTAAGCTTTGGATAATAT